ATATTGGCACAAGCAATGTATCAATTACACTTCATTTAAATTAATGCTTGAAAGTATACATTTGAAATTGTGTGAAAAGTTTTAAAATATTGTTATAATATGTGCCCAAAGAGATGAGAGATGACATTTTACAAATTAAATTTTGGATGTATTCGCATCTTCAATATTTTATAACATTCCAGCATGATATTTGTAAAAGGAAACGGCTGTTGGGTTAACCGAATTGTGTTGCCATTTTGATGGGTTAGCCGGATGTTGCCATTTTGATGGGTTAACCGGATGTTGCCATTTTGATGGGTTAACCGGATGTTGCCATTTTGATGGGTTAACCGGATGTTGCCATTTTGATGGGTTAACCGGATGTTGCCATTTCCCTGAGTTTCTTGTTCTTCCTTGTAAATCGTAGTAGATATATCTTCCTTTGTAGCTGATATGCTTTTCTATGCTTATAATAATAATAATAATAATAATAATAATAATAATAATAATAATAATAATAATAATAATAATAATAAATAATAATAACAATAATAATAATAATAATAATAATAATAATAATAATAATAATAATAATAATAATAACAATAATAACAATAATAATAATAATAAAAATAATAATAATAATAATAATAATAATTAAAAATAATAATAATAACAACAACAACAATAATAATAACAATAATAATAATAATAACAATAATAATAATAATAATAATAATAATAATAATAATAATAATAATAATAATAATAATAATATGATAATAATAATGATAATGATGATAATAATAATATTAATAATAATAATAATAATAATAATAATAATAATAATAATAATAATAATAATAATAATAATAATAATAATAATAATAATAATGTGAACATAGGCAACATGGGCATATTAAAATGTTACAAAGTTTTTCTAAGAAACTAAAGGAAGGAGGGCTGTTGCTATGGTTCTTGGCTATTTAGTGTCAATGGTAAAGTTATAACACAATGGCCATTTACTGTGTGATGGCAAAGTTATAACACAATGGCCATTTAGTGTGCAATGGTAAAGTTATAAAACAATGGCCATTTAATTTGTGATGGCAAAGTTATAGCACAATGGCCATTTAGTGTGTGATGGCAAAGTTATAGCACGATGGCTATTTAGTTTGTGATGGCAAAGTTATAGCACAATGGCCATTTAGTGTGTGATGGAAAAAATATAACACAATGGCCATTTAGTGTGTGATGGCAAAGTTATAGCACGATGGCTATTTAGTGTGTGATGGCAAAGTTATAGCACGATGGCTATTTAGTGTGTGATGGCAAAGTTATAACACGATGGCTATTTAGTGTGTGATGGCTAAGTTGTAACACCAATATGTCGACATTAGAAACTGAAAAAATACAACGAAATTACACGGAATATGGATTCAGTAAATAACATTTTGGATAACTGACATAAAAATAACAAAATAAACATCGGATAAAGTTTTGAAAAGGTAAACAAGAAATTACACCATGTATTGGTTCTATAACACTCACCTTGCCACATTTTGTTCAAAGGTTTTCATCTAAATATATTAGTTGGCTTAATAATTAATATATGCCCAAATTAATTTGAAAATCTGTTAATGAATACTGTTTAATTTCGAGGATCTCAACAGAATAAACAGGATGAGAGAGAGAGAGAGAGAGAGAGAGAGAGAGAGAGAGAGAGAGAGAGAGAGAGAGAGAGAGAGAGAGAGAGAGAGAGAGAGAGAGAGAGAGAGAGAGAGAGAGAGAGAGAGAGAGAGAGAGAGAGAGAGAACTGATCTGTCCATGTGCCGGATAATACATAGAAAAATTCATTATTGTTTTAATGTAACAAAATCGGAAAGCTGTCCATGCTCTTTTCCTTCTAGCAATTTAGTATGATCTTTATGAATATAAAGATAAAAATGGCGCTAAAGCGCTAGAAGGAATAAAGCATGGATAGTTTTCTGATCTTTTCTTACATTTATATATCCACGGTACGCCTGTTGTCCATAATCCAGTGGGCAGTACACGAAATTATGAAAATTCATTTTTATCCCAACAACATATGCAAAAAGATATGGATCAGAACTGTGTGTATTCAGTGCGTTAATGTACACGTGACTTCATACATAGTTGAGGTATAATTATGTAATTAGTTTTGGTCTGAGATTTTAATGTATATAATAATTTTATTGATAGTATGTTGATATGTAATTATAATTGAATAATTTATTGCTAGCTTGTAGATAATTATTTAATTTATTAAAATCTCTGAAATTCAAACAAGGGCATACATTCTATGGAATAAGATGATTCACGAAGCATGTGAATGTTGATACTGTTTTATTAATAATTTGTTACTATTTGGTATCTTGTCAATTGACGTTATGAATAAATTTGTTACTATTTGGCATCTTGTCAATTGTTTTCAAGCAGCACCGTTTCAGGAAGAAATTTCTCGCATTTCCATTATATATGTGTGCGTGTGTGTGTGCTATTTTGAACATATGTAGAGAGAGAGAGAGAGAGAGAGAGAGAGAGAGAGAGAGAGAGAGAGAGAGAGAGAGAGAGAGAGAGAGAGAGAGAGAGAGAGAGAGAGAGAGAGAGAGAGAGAGAGAGAGAGAGAGAGAGAGAGAGAGAGAGAGAGAGAGAGAGAGAGAGAGAGAGAGAGAGAGAGAGAGAGAGAGAGAGAGAGAGGTGATTTATTGAACTAAAAAATACACGCAAAACCCTCAAGTAATTAGGGACAATTGCAATATCTTAATCGTGTTTGATGGAGTAGATAATTATGCTTTGCAAAATATTTATTATACTTGGTATTCAGGGGATATGGACATGATTAAGTTTAAAAACTTCTTTTCAAAAGCACAAGGTGTTCCGTTCGGATTTATAACAATAAATTTACATGACCCAAGATCTAGGTATCGTATAGGACTGGATAAAGTTTGGTTAATTATAGCAGCAGGGAGGGTGAACGACCAGCGTTGAGTGACCAGCACTTAAACGAAACATGTCATAAAATGAAAACGCTCGTCAGTGATGATGCAACAAAATGAGCTAACCCAATTAAAGAAATGTCATGACCTGACAGAGGTTTTGGTTTAATGTTATTCACCTTGAAATTTCATTTTTGTAGGAAGTTTTATTTTTCATAAATGAAGTCTCTAACAAAAATGGTCTGTTCACACTCCCTGCTATTTAATGCCACCTTCCAATATTGTCACTTTCCAAATAATGTCACCTTCCAGATAATTTTACCTTCCAATTATTTTCACCTTTCAAATAATGTCACCTTCCAATATTGTCACCTTCAAAATATTGTGACCTTTCAAATAATGTCACCTTTTATTTCTGATAAGATTTGTGACAGGACAATGTCATAATATATATATATATATATATATATATATATATATATATATATATATATATATATATATATATATATATATATATAATGGTGCCAAATGCTCTAGTAAATAGGTCGGTTTATATAATTGATTTATTGATTTTCATTCTAATAATATTGGTGTGTAATCGAGCGTACATAGTTTCAATGACCGCACTGCAGATTTGGTGACGATTTAAATACCATAACACTAGACAAACATGTAATTCAACATTGAAACTAATGTATATGCACCCAACTTACCCTGGTTATAAAGTAGTTACCTAGAAAGTTTGTAACTAGAAATCTATTGGTGTTTGGTAACACAATGCGTGTTAGCAACAAAATGTCAAGGTTTTGTGCGATGTGACTTGTATTGGACAAACATCAACATTTATTTGAATTCAAGAATAGATTATCTCGTTCTTTTGTTCTACGCATGGACGATTATGACAGTAATCAATAAACGATTCACTTAATATGAAATACAATACACTAAACAGTAAACCCCTTTCTTATTTGCTTATTGCCCCAAGCTAAGTAACTGATATATGATAAAGTCCTTTCTCCAAGGACACCTACGTAGAACCCTTCTTTCTGTCGTTACACTGATCATATTTTTGTTCACACACACGCACACACACACACATACATACATACATACATACATACATACATACATACATACATACATACATACATACATACATACATACATACATACATACATACATACATACATACATACATACATACATACATACATACATGCATGCATTCGTACCAAACCAGTTAAAGACTGATGCGATACAATGATTTATAGGTAGATAGGTGTATTTGATTTATATATGCGTCTGATGGAATGGCCAGGTGTTTTCCACCGAAAATAATTGAAGTGGAAAATTAAGATACGGTCCCCCAACAGACAATGCAATTTTTTTTATTTTTTCCCCTCAAATAGCAAAGCGATTCGTTTTCTTTTATATCCCACCACCTAGATAAAAAATCAACAACAACAAAACAGAACAGCAACAAACAATGAGGTTTGTTTTCTAATCTGTTCAAACCCCCAACACCTGACAAATATTTTTGTTTTATAATTTCATCACAAAAAGCTAGACATCTGTTTTTAATCCCCCACCCACCCCAAGAACAAACATACAATAAGAGAATTGTTTCTATATGTTCTCCCAAAACGGGCAAAGAGATTTTTGTCTCTATTTTCCACCTAAACGGGCAAAGAGCTTTATTTTTCTTACTAAAAGATAATACAGTGGATCAATATGGCGTCATTCAATCAAAGCAAATTTCCAATTGTACAAATCCTATCTGCAAAGGATTTCTCAGTTCGGCATGTCTATCATTTTCAGGCATGAATTTGTGAACTTATTATACTCGCGGTCTGTTTTTTTTTTTAAATAAATTTTATTCTTCGCCAAAGTTGCACTGTTGGTACGAACCCAGCAAAATTCAGTTTAAATGTAACTTTTCCTATTTGATTATATAAACTTTTTTTATAAAAAAAATACAATAGTTTGCTTCAGATTTATAACTACTGCGTATATCTATCACGACCATTACTTCATCTGAAATACCTTTAGTAGATCAGGTGGCTTAGTGTTTTGAGCATCCGCCTCGAATGCAGGAGATTGCGGGTTCAAAGCCCGGCAGTTTCATAACAAAAACTTAAAAGATATGATACTACCAGCAGCTGCCTCGCATTGTTAGGTGAGTGTTAGGACTGGTTGGTGTCAGGATATTGTGACTTAGAACAAATGAAGCCCTGTGTTGGTCAAGTTAAGTAGCCCCTAAGATCCCCCTCTCCCCCCCCTGCCAACAGGGGACTTGTGCTTGTGGGACATTATGCTACATGTCTGCGGCCAGTACTGGACAACAGAATAAAATGTTACACTGCAGACATCGGAGAGATATGACCTAAAAATGCAGCATATTCTGGATAGGGATGAAATTTGAGAACGTGTTAATAATAACGCCACCTTTTCAAAGTCAACTTGCCGATTACAGTGATACGTCTGCCGACGTGAAAACATGTGTACTGATAGTTCCATTTCAACAAGTGTCAACAACAAAATTATATACGGCTACACTAGGTGGCAAATATATCTACCGATACAGTCAATAACTGGGGATAGGGTTTACAAAGAATATTTGAACGCAGAATTTAAATGTCAAACTTTACAAATGAGCAATAGTTTCTGTAGCTATTTGTGTACTTTGCTATTTCTCTTAAAATGATTGACGTGACATTCTCCTGTAGCTTTGCTAAATTATCTTAAATTATTTGATTATTATTATATCACCATACTGATGGCTACGTTCGTTAGATAAGTCAATCTAGGTATAAAATAGCGTGCAGAATTAATAGTAAGAAACTGATTTGATCTCTTGAAACAAACTGCACGTGCGTGCGTGTGTGTGTGTGTGTGTGTGTGTGTGTGTGTGTGTGTGTGTGTGTGTGTGTCAGATTCAATGTCATATTATTTCCAGGCCTGATGTAAAGACAATAGTATAAATCACGTCTCTTTTTTTTGTGATGGCCTCTCGAAAATATCCGAACTGGATTTGATTGCTTATCCAGCATTTCATCATCGTATACTACAAGATTATTGATATTTCCATTAAGATCATCTATGGATGGAGCTTCATCAATATCGGTAATAAAATCAATAACATCATTATCTTTATCAGGATATTTTTAGCGACTTTGAATTGTCATTAAAATCTTTAAGTACTTCGTAACATCGTTGATCAGATGGCGCCACTAAATACAGTTTATCCCACCCGAGCCATCTCAGTCAGACTAAGTACTTCGTAACATCGTTGATCAGATGGTGCCACTAAATTCAATTTATCCCACCCGAGCCATCTCAGTCAGACTAAGTACTTAGCAACATCGTTGATCAGATGGTGCCACTAAATACAATTTATCCCACCCGAGCCATCTCAGTCAGACTAAGTACTTAGCAACATCGTTGATCAGATGGTGCCACTAAATACAATTTATCCCACCCGAGCCATCTCAGTCAGACTAACTACTTCGTAACATCGTTGATCAGATGGTGCCACTAAATTCAATTTATCCCACCCGAGCCCTCTCAGTCAGACTAAGCAATAATTGTGCTTTATCGGACTCAGATTGGCCAAATATAAATAGAATTTGGTAGCGCTGGATGATGCTTGACTGGCTCTTGCTGTTGTGTCGTGGAAAAGTCAATTATATCCACGTAACGAATAATATGGATTTATATTGTGATTGACGTAGAGCACCCACCCATACCAGTGGATTAACAACAAAAATAACAAACAATAACAGACACGCATTTACATGCAAGTGTGTGAAATGTGGTACAAAATACAAATTTATTTCAATGACAAAGACAAATGGAGATATTGCTTCTTGGTTAGGTAAATTACCAGGAGCTCCATGGACAAAGTACCCTGGTCAGAAACATTTTCATGGATGTAATTTTTGTGGTCCTGGAACCGGACTTCATATTCGACTTGACGAACAAGACCAACCAAGACCGGGAGAGTACCCAATAAACACAATTGAACAAGCGTGTCACGTTCATGATGTCGCGTATAAAAATCCAAATTTGCAACAACGAAATTAGACCTGCAATCAACAGATTATATCAAACTGCTCCTCAACGTGGATTTGTACGCGAACAAACACAAATAATTCTTGAAGACACACAAATACCACCATCTTCACTTTTGCAAAAGTGTCACCTCAACGTCGATTACATTCAAGACAGGTCAGCGTCACATTTTTGCGTGTGTTTGACCAAGAGTACTATTAATTCTATCAACAGTAATATGTTTTAGATTATTATATCAAAGTCGCATTAATACTATCAACAGAAATATGTTTTAGATTATTATATCAAAGTCGCGATTATTTTTTGTCACATTGTTTATAGCTCGCTAATATTTTCTTGATGACGACAAAGTCGTTAGTGATTTCTTCTGTTATTACATAATTCATGATAACCCTGTGTAATATGATGATAAACTGGATGATAAACTAAATTTGATCACTCAATACGATCATCGACAATCCATATATTTGTATCGGTAATAGTTAATCCCTGTGACTAGTAAATTGTTATAGCGTATTCTAACGTCCACGGTGATTTATCCATGCTCAACGCGCTCCCAACAACATCAACAACAACTATAGGAATATCATTTTACAAACGATTTTGTATTCCACCAAAAAGAATCTCAATATCAACATTCTGTCGTAGAGTATCTGCTGGGCAATAACACGATGTTACATGTAGATTTGAAAATGTTTCTTCATGTAACGTAAATTATTTTTTTTAAATGCATCGCGAACTATTTTTCTACTTGCAATTATCAAATCCGCAGGTCTCCATAAATTCCAAAAATCATTCATAGGAGTTTCTGGAATTATTTTACGCATTGTCTCACGCTGTATTTTATATGGCTGTAGTCTTATTAACTTTTTAAACTCTTTCAGTGAATTATCTATAGCTCTATGGTCATCATTTATTTCTTCGTAATAATCTACAAATGTTTTAAGCCAATCATGTGGAGACGATCCGAAAAAAGGTGGCAATTGACCATGATCGTCACACGTTATCACAGCAGTATTCTTCAATAACAGCCAATCAAGAAATATTTTTGATACCTCCAGCCAGACCGTACAAATCTCGTCCAAGATAATAATTTTAGGAAAGTATTTCTCACTCATTAACGATGGAGTCCATGTGTCTCCGCACAATCTGAAGAAACCATGATAAGTTTGAGATTTAATTCCTCGTTCTTTTATTTCTCTGACGAGTTTATGTGCCGGTGTCAAAACAATTATATTAGATCAATTTTTAAATAGTTTAATCGCGTATGTTGTTTTAGCGGAACCACCACACCCATTAAGATAAACGGTTTTATGCTTAGGCACAGGATCATATGGTGCAGATGACAATTCTAATATATAATTATTACTGCAATATATTTTCTTAATTTCAACGTAGGCAGAATTAGAATAAAAAAGTATATCTTCACGTTTTATTGTGCAATCGCCCCATGAAGCATAATTGTTGATATGTAATTGTTTTAACAAATCCACAGAGGAAATCTGTTTATCATTGATAATAGATTTATCGAAAAGTATGCGAGCATAAAAGGTGGCGCTCACCAGTTATTATGTACTTTTGAGAGAGTGATGTATGTAAGGTGAAGCTGTTTGCATTTTAAACATGCATAGTGGAGAGAATGTTGGCATACATATATGCCACTTTCATGTAATGTGGATGAAATTTCTTTGGATATTGTACTTTTGGAAATTTTAAATGATCTTAGGACACTGCTAACTAAAATGACTGCTCCCTTGTGCTCCAAAAATCAACCTGAATTTATCTAAAGTACACTATTCTTGGCAGCTATTAAAATATGGAAAATGAATTTTGCCAAACTAGATAATACCAGCTTCTAAAAGTGCAATGAATGAATTACCAAAGACATAAAATGTAAAAAAAAGGTTATCGGCTCTATTTTTTACAATTTACCTCTGAAGTTCGAGAAGTGAAAATGAGCAGGTAGTGCTAGCACTTTTTTGAAAGGTGCACATCTGGAGTAAGGCCAAGCTGTATAATCTCTAACCCATATTACACCCATCAATCATACATCAAAATAAAGGGAATTATAGGTTCTTTGAACAATACCCAAGATATACAAAGTCTCTTTTAAATAGCCAGTAAAACTAGTGAGGAAACCCGGGGAAACTCTTTTTCTTTAAAATTCTAACCCTATGCTAAATACGAAACTGTAGAGCGCCACCTTAAAAACAAATATAAACATTTATGAAATTATTGTTTTCATTTTCATATTATTATGTATGATGTTCTGAATAAAATGATACATTAACATTGATTTTATACATGAAAATAAGCTAATCATGCTTATTTTTGCTCTAGCATACATAATTTGCCATGAGGCATGTTTGGGTGAGTAGTGACCTACATTATGGGGAAATTAGAAGTCTTAGAATATAGGAATAAAGTCAACTTAAATTGAAAACTGTTGCATTAAGTAACAGAAATACATATTGAAAATGTTTCTTTTCATTTATCTGCAATTAAATTTTAAAAAATGATAACAAAGCAAATTTGTTTTCTTCCATAACAAAGAATTAGTTAATATTTAACACTTTGACCTTTGACCTTTATGAACCTAACCTGTTATATCCCTTTTCTAACTGTAAAATTTATTGTGGACATCTCAGGAATAAATATGGCTAGTTTCATGTTCCTGTCTATCAGCATAACACTGGTTGCTATGTTGACAAAATGCAATGCGCATTTTTAAAATAGATCACTTTTTATCATAAGGAGGGGGAGCTGTACCTGTTTGAGACTCTAACTCTATTAAATGCTGTTCTGAGGTTCGAAATATAGGACAATTATTACAAAAGACTGTTTTGATGCTTGCGACTTAAATATTTCAGCCATATAATCAAAATTAAATCACACAATAATAATACCTATATACTCTTTATGGTGGCGCTCACCAGTTATTATGTACTTTTGAGAGAGTGATGTATGTAAGGTGAAGTTATTTGCATTTTAAACATGGATAGTGGAGAGAATGTTGGCATACCTATATGCTACTTTCATGTAATGTGGATGAA